TTACATTAAACTCTTCTGAGCTTTTTTTGTTGTTTTCATTATATTTGTCCAAATAAATGTACCTTTAGTTGTACCAGACATTAAAATGAACAAGAAATTGAAGACAACAACGGTGGTCTACTCATTTTGTCCATGACTGTAGACACGCTCGCCGATAGGGGGCCCAGAGTGGGGTGGGGGGCCCAGAACTGGACCCTCGTTGAATTATGGATTTTTTTCCCCCAAAGCAGGGCTATTAATGGAAAGAAACAGGGCAATATATGAGTTAGAAGTTTTAATTTGTTTTCATCTGAACTGTCCTTAATATCGTTGGAGTTGCCCTCCACCCCCACCTCCAACATAAAATGGTTTGGCCCCTGATCAACAGTTGACGTCCTTTTATTGGAAGTTCGGATTTTGCACTTCAGCACCAAAATGTCCGCTCAGCAGAAGTCTGGTGCTCAGAAAAGGAAAAAGAAGAGAAAAGGAGAGGAAGAAAATAGAGGCCTTAGAGATTTGCTTAAAATATACTTTTAAAAAAAAGGTGGTGACAACGAAGCTGGAACTAGTAAAGTCAACGTAGAGAGAGGTAAGAAACAGCGGAGCCAACGTTTGTCAGCCTTGTAACGTTATTTGGCTAGCGCTTAATATCCATTAGCTGTGATAAAAATCTTTTTTACTTTTTAAATTTCTTATTATTATAAGTCGTAGTAGTGGTATTGTTAGTATTATGATAGTTTTATTTTTAAAATTTATTATGATTAGTTGTAGTAGTATTGTTAGTAATATATTTTTATTTTACTTTTTAAACTGAATTTATAATTATTATTAGTCATAGTATTGTTAGTATTATTATATTTTTATTTATAATTTATAACTATTATTAGTAGTAGTAGTATTAGCAGTATTGTATTATTATTTTTTAATTTGAAGTTATAACTTTTATTTTTTTCTTTAACTTCCTGCTGTACATAACCTGCTGCTGACATCTGTGACTCCTATATGGACACCACTGCTTTACTACCTGGCAGCAGGCCTCATCTGCACATCACCTGCTGCTGTCGCCCACCTTTCCTGTGTTTTTTATGTGTTGTTTTCTTTCTCTTTTCAGTGCGTCGCTCTTTGTCCACCTAATTGCCCCTCTGGGATCAATAAAGTTTTTTCTGATTCTGATAAACATGCTCAAAAGCTCGTGAAAATGTGCACACACATCATGACCAGTGAAAAATTTGGTATTTTTTGGTCATTGTGCATGTGTGTGGCAATATGGCTCTGTAGCGCCCCCTACAACACCTTTGTAACATCGACTATGCAGCACATCCAGACACAGCACAAAGTCAGTGGGTGCCATACCCTGAACCCAACAGGAAGTCTGCTGGAAGTCTGATTTAATGTCAGAGTGAAAATAAAATGTTTCATGTCTTTTTATACAGTGGATGAGAACTTTTGGTTTCAATTGTAGGTTGATCATTGATTCACAAACCATCAGCGGATCTTCAAAGATCTGTTGGGTTTCTGGAGCATCATCACAAGCCTCAGTCAAACATCTTCCATTTCTGAACTTTCTGACCAGAACCAAACTCTAGATGATGGAAGATTGAGTGTTTGGCTGATTTGACCAATAGGACAGCCTTCTTTGTGCTTGAAATGACCTTTAAGCTCACTTCACTTATCTTTTCTGATCCAAACCCATACTGAGGTCTTGCTACATAAACCATATCTATGAAAACGTTTCATCATTCATTATTGTTTTCTACATCACTACTAAAGAAAGAAGAGCAGAGTTTGTTCAGTCAGATACACTCAAGTCAACATTTTATAAACAAATAGTCGTCTTCATCCTCTGACAGTCATTAAACACAGAAGAAAGTCTTGACATCATAGAAAACGTCGTCCTCAGACGTGGCATCGCTGCTTCCTCCCGTCATGTGTGGGACCTCTGTCGCTTCCAGAACCTCTTGACCTCACTGTGGCCCTGCGGCGTCACCACCATCACCCTGTGAGCCACGTCCTGCCACACCAGACAGTCCAGGCCCTGCGCCAGAAGGACTTCGTTAGACAGGCCTCAGCAATGACGGACATTCTCAGCATTTCACCAACACATGATTCATTAAAGAGGTGCCCAGGTCATCGATCATTAAGCTGCTGTAAGTGTAAGGGGTTGAGGAGTTGTAAAGGCCACAGACATGGTGGCACGGGGCTCTTATGCTTCAACACTCTTAACATCGTATGTTTAAGGAAAACTACAGCGTCTTACAGCTCAGGTCCTTTTTTGTTGTAGCTCTTGTGCTAATTTAGCTACAACAACAACAGCCACTACTGCTTTACTAGACTGTATGGGTGTTTGTGATGATACTTCTCAGCTAATATATCGAAAATAGAGTGAATGATGAATCTAGTTTCATCAAACAAAGGTCTGTACCGTATGATGTTAAGGCTGTGAGATGTTGTAAACGGCGCTACATAAATAAAATTGAATTGAATAATAATGATGACAGAATGGTATTTAGTTAGGAAATGAAACCAAACCTGAGCTCTGTCTCGCAGAACCTCAAAGTCAGCCTGGGAGAGGAACTGGTTGTAGAGCACTCCTGAGGGAGACAACAACACAGAGCAGCAAGACATGAGTGTAATCTGGTAAATGGACTGCACTTATAGAGCGCTTGTCTATCTTAGCAGTACTCTTCTTCTCTCCACACTTTCTCTTTATAACTAACATTTCTAACTGCTTCTACCTTCTTTGCTTTTTCCTTTCTGTAAATAAAACGTACCTCCTAAAGATATTTTACAGACATATACGCCTACCAAGACAAGGATTCTCTCCACTGATAGGTTTAAAAGATATATAAAACATGTTCATAAAGAACTGTTGTCAGTTAATTAATGACTGAAAACAGTATTTGTGAGAGCAGATGGCTGGTGAGTACGACTCTGCTGTTAGACGGCACCGGCATGAACGCAGCAGAAATGCACGTTTACAGTGATGATCAGAACAAGGTAACAGGAAACTTTGGACAACAGTCCATCAAAACTGGAGCTGAGCGAGGAGATGGGGTACGACATCATTTAAATCTTTTAAAACATATCAATCTGTCCCACTGAAGAACAAGCCCACTCACCCTCTGTGAACTGTAGCCGATCTCTCTCCAGCTCCCACAGTCTGATCTGATCCGTTATGGTCGGAGGCAGCACTGGGGTCTGAAGCACAAGATACAGGATGGAGATACTGTTCAAAACTATTAAAAGCTGGCCAGCAGTTATTGGATTGATTAGAATTAAGCGTCAGAAGAACAGGTGGGTTGCTGTACCTGTGTGAGCATGACCGGGTGAGCTCTGGTCCTGAGGAAGTGGATAATCTGGATAACAGAGTAACAGAGACACAGACAGCATATTACCGGAAGGAGGGAAGCCGGAGTAGAAAAATCGAAAGGGTTCATAAACTTTTAAGTATCACAGCGTGAAAGGGAAACTGTTACAAAAAACATGTCTCATTGTAGAATATTCTACAATGAGACATATTCATTCCTTTGATTATTATTGGGTTGTATGCTCCATGCCACAAGGGGGCTGTATTATATGTGACTGAGGTTACCTAGGGTCATCCAAAGTGGGGCATTTAATCAAGGTAAACCCAGAGGCAGGTGTTGCTCATTTGGGAGAAGCAAACAGTTTTTTTTAAGCCTGTGTTTGGTGAACAGCAATGCGTTTGTTGTTTTTTTTCTCAGTATATTATGAGTTAGTATTAGATTTACGTGTATGACTTATAAAGGAAAATAAACGTGCCGTGTTAACAACATAACCTGCGTTTTGCTGTGTCCGGAGCGCACTGGCCGCATGTCCAAACAATTCTCTTAAGCAACCAATTGTGACTTTGAACAGGACTCAGGTACTACACTCATATTTTCACAGTTGTAATGAGGACAGTGAACTGCAGTGTGCCAGGCGGTGTGTAGTGGTGGACTACCTGCTGGGCTGTGATGCCGTTGGCGATGGCCTGCTGCACCGACTCCCTGGTGAGCTGAGCCACCACCACGTTGGGGAAGCGATAGAGCATTTCACTGAAGAGAGCCACCAGAGCGATCTGAAGCTCGGAATCTATGACGGGCATACAAACGCAATTAGGTCAGCACAGGTTCTGTGAGTTGTGTAACTTGTCAACAGCTAAAGACAAGCTGCATAAATTCTAACCAGTAGACGCTGGTGTATGTTTGAGCCTTGGACAGCGGTAGGCTGGCTGTTTGCCTCTGCTTCCTGTCTTAATGCTACCTCTGAACTTACAGACAGACATGACACTGGTATCCATCTGAACTGTCAGACACAACAGTAACAAGCACTTTCTAAACTGCAGTGCTGACTACAGCATTAGTATCACCATTAATGCAACACAACAGAGAGGAAAGAAGCACAGCGACGGTTTCATATGAACAGGTGTAAAATGTTTTTAAAAAATACTGCTTCCTGCATTCAAACGTACTCGTGTAGGCGTAGATGCGATAATTGGTTTCTACCACAATGAAGCCTGCCTCTCCGGTACCAGGAGTGGACGCCAGGTTAGAGGAAGAGGAAGAGGAGCTGGTAGCGACTCCTGCAGCCAGGGTGATGGCCAGTCTGGTGGGGTAGTACCGCCTGGACTTCCTCTGATGACGAGAGATGGAGACAAATTATACCTATATATATTGATTTAATGAAAGCAGATCTTACCCGTTATGAAGTATTTAGGTCACATGTGTTATACACACACACTGAACTCAGTGTTTTGTTTCTGTTTTATTTCAGTTAATTCCATTTTCTGGACAATCACATTCATCAGACAGACTTTGCAAAAAGTGTTCATTTATGGTAAAACTCATGGTCATCATACATCACAAGCAAACAAAACAAGCTCCTTATCTCCCACACTCATGAATCATGGGAGAAAAACCAAACAGAAACATCCAGACATCTTTCCATGAGCGCTACCTATCAGGACCATCCTGTCTCAGAGTGATGCTGAGAAACTAGTCCATCATTCATAACTTCTAGACTGGATTATTATAGTTCCTTATTACCAGGATGTCCCAATAACTCTCTTAAAACCTTCAGCTGATACAGGGGCGTTTGGTTCCTTCACACCGTCGCTGACCGCTTGATCAGATGGAGTCCAAAGGCTACTCTGGATTGTTGGCTTCTCTGTTTAAATCCCTAAGCTCTTTACCGTAGAACGTTAAGCGCTGTGAGATGACAGATGTTGTGAACTGCTCTATATTCATAAAATTTTATTTAAACTTTAATTGAACAGGGCTTAATAAACCCAATTTGAGGTGAACCTAAATGAAAAGACAAACAAGTACAATCCAGGTAGAGAGCTGGTCTGGAGCCCAGACTGAAGAACCAAAGTTCAGCCTTGTGTATGTCATCACCCTGTTGGTGCTGCAGTCATACAGCCAACAGTATTTAAAGCGCTGGTAGATCTCGCTGCCTCACCTTTCTCTGGAACACGAGTCCAAACTCCCGCAGATGCTGCAGGAAAGTGAGTAATGACTCACTCATACCCTCCACGGAGTAATCCTGAAGCACATAGACAGCACACGATCAATAACATCAGAGGAACACACATTAAACAAGAATGTTAGAACCACAGCCGGTGCACTAGAACGCTGTACAGTGCTGCACACACTGCTCTACGAATGAAAGAAAAGCTCACTGCTGTGAACTCACTCTGCCAAGAGTAGAGAAGCTGAGCTGGAATAAGAAGGACAAGATCTCCACCAGGTCCATCCCTCTGGACTGAAAGAGACAAAGCATAACATATATGTAACAGAGCTGTAGAGTTATGGACACAATCATCATCAAATGTGACGTTTTTATTTTACTTTCTCCTCTAAACAAACAGAACATTGCCTTCACTGTCATGTTGCGCTACAGTCCTGTAATGTAATACTTCAAAATAAGACTGGTCATTATGGACAGTGGTCCTCCTCAAAGCAGAATGTGAAGAAGTTGTAACAAAACATTTTGTTGTTGTTTATTCTGTTTTCATTGGATGCTGTGCAGTACGGTCACACAGGACACAACACTGCTGTTACGGACATTAAGGTGGACGCTGGACGAGGACAGTTGAATTTACCTGAGCAGTTTTGAGGTACTGAAGGGTGAAGTACCACAGCTGAGAGGCCGTGTCCAGCAGGAGGAACTGGAAACCAGCTGAGGTGATGTAGGGAGCCTCTCCTGCCTCACTGACAAAAGATCAGAGGACAACATGAGGGACAGCGCTAACCTGGAACACCATAAAAACTGTTTTCAGACATATTCAGATCTTTGGCTAAATCTTGCCGTTACAAACGCAGGCTCTGACTTTATAAATTATTAATTAGCAATGCCTTTTTATATGATAATCATATGCATTTCCTCTGACTCAGGTGTATCAAGAGGTGGAACGCTTCCAGGTAACCATCTGACAGTTCACTAAGCCCCGCCCCCCTAGTGCAACTGTCCACTCACACCATAGCATCAACTGAAAGCCAATGATGTCAGGCATATAAAAACATTATCAATCGTTGATCAGTGACTAATCAAGCAGCAGAACTAACCTGCTTAACGAGTGTGTTTATTTGCATGAATCCAGGGGAATAATGTTAGCATGCCAGGTTAAACATTATACACAGAAAAAACCTAATTTAGCTATACGTCAAGTTTAGGATAAGCTTTTGTTGTGGCAAAGTGACACTATTTGGAAAAAACTTAAAATAATTCAGAAATCTAATCAGTGTACAGCTTCTAAGTAACACAAACTTAATTAAAACACATTCTGTTATCTCATTTTCAGTTACAGTCCTACATACTGGGGCTAACAGGAGACTCTGTGAGGCAGCGATGCTGTGTTTCCAAATGCTCTACACACACTACAAACAGTGAGGATGCAGATGTTTTGCATTACACCCGTCAGCTTCATCCTCTGCATCATGACACAGTCCTAACATAGCATCGTGTCATGTGAGGCACATTTAAATTCTTTTCACAGAGTTCTTAGTTTCATACGCAACAGTTTAAGGAACGTGAGCCTGATGCTGCTTTACCTCTTCATGAGGCCTGCTTGGACCAGCAGGTGAGCCAGGTCCTGGCTGACAGCACTGGGAGAACCCACCATGAACTGCAGGATGACCTCCCATCGCTCCATAGCGTAGCGGTCAAGGCTGTCGATGTCCCGTGCATGCCGGTCAGGACCAAGAGAGCTCCCCTCCTCAGCCCACGCTCTGCCCCTGTGTGCATGTACAGCAGAGGTTGGTTCACATCATTTATACTGTAAGAGGGAAGTTTTAGACATTTGGATACTGCGATTCTGACCAACCAGGTCTTGGATGGTTGAAAGAAAGGGAAACCAAGTAAGTAGCGGCTGTGTCTGGTTTTCTTTGTGAAACAGCCGGTTACTTTGACTACATTCCTATCAGCACATGCAGCAACATGGTTACTGCAGAATGAACAGAGAGAGGGGAGTGCTGCCCCCCTGTGGCCAAACCCTGTACTCACAACAACGACTTACCCTCCGAGCAGAGCTGTCCTCAGGTTGTCTTTGAACACAGGGTTTAGGATGTATCCCTGCAGACCCCCCTGCAGCTGCTGACTGTGCCAAAGGCGGAGTCCGGCCAGCACTGAAACACATTCATCGTGATCCCTGCAGCGAGAAGCCAAAGACAAAAACACACACAATGAACGGAAATGATCATGACTCTAAAATATGCAGTTCCCTGTTTTTCTCCCACCAAAGATGGAATAAAGCTGTAAGGGATTTTATTAGCTGTACTAGCAACACAAAAACAACGAGGAGTTTTTACGGCAAAAGAATACAGTTCAGGTGGTGACAGTCCCACCAATGAACAGAGCCATGTTCATGTCATGGAGGTGGTATTCTCTGGTAGGAGGTGGTTCTTTCAGCAGGACAGGGCTTCCTGCAACACTACAAATATTGCTCAGGAATAGTGTGAGGAACATGAGAAAGAGTTCAAGGTGTTTACTTGGCCTCCACATTCTCCAGATCTCAATCTGATCAAGCATCTGTGGGATGTACTGGAAAAACGAGTCCAATACGTGGAGGCCCAACCTCGCAGCCTCCAGGACTTAAAGCACGTTTCTGATCTCCTCATACCACAGGACAGCTTCAGAGGTCTGTGGAGTCTGTGCTCGATGGCTAGGTGGAACAATACTCAGCTTTGATTATAGAGCAAGATAAGCCTTCCAGCAAAGAGCATTTAAAATAAGTCTATAAATAAAATTGAACTGAATTAGACAGAACTCACCAGGTCATATCTCACACTGTGATACAGGAGAACAAACGTACAACAACAGCTAACTCACAACGCTGCTGGAAGCATAAGCATGACACGTGACTCACTTCTGACTGTCTTTCTTCACCCAGAGCGCCACGGCTGCCTGAGGAAGAGGCTGATCCAGGAACAGCATACGCATCACATAGTTCTTGGCCAGAGACGGGAGCTCCCTGTGGAATAATAAACACAGTATAAAACCACACAGACCGTGTTCACGTCACGTCCACGACAACGGGACGTTATATCAGAATCAGAATCAGCTTTAATGGCCCAGTACGGACACAACATACAAGGAATTAGGTTTCGGCTGTTGGTGTCGCCCTGGGAATGAACAATAGGAAAATAAAGTAAAATAACTATAGGAAGATAAAAACAAAATTAATAATTATAAAAAAATAAGATAACAAATATATACAGAACTGACACATCTGAGCAGAAAACATTTATGTACAGTGGTGCAAATAACAACTATGGCTGAGAACGGCTCAGTAGGGTTATGGCAGTGGGATGTGTTTATGTCAGGTGGGTTCAGTGTGCAGGTATTATCAGTACAGCTATACATTGTACCTGTAGACAGCCAGACATGTTGCTGGGTGGTTGTACAGTCGGTCCAGGATCTCTGGACTCAGCTCTCTCAGGTATTCATGCAGGTTCTTACACTGCAGCTGGACGCGCAGCTTCATGGTCTACGGCCGGACAGAGGACAGGCTCAGTGGACACAGCCCTGTAAAGACACGGGGAGCTGATAACATCTGTCAGGAGGGTTTTAATCTGCGGATCCACACTTTTAATTCAGCATATTTACAATACGGCTCATTCCGACATGAAATGTTTTATCGTCCAGACCACACTCAGAACAACAGAGGACGAAGCACTTCAAATAAACCTAGACATGTGTATAGAAAATATATGTTACCGTGAAGACAGCTTCAAAATATCAACCAGATCCCGACAATGTAAAATTACTTTGTGCAGAATAACTCCATAGTAAATATTCAGCGCTGTTCTCCCGTTCAAGCGGCCATGTTTCCAGGTCATGTGACCTTAATGCCAACGTCCTGATTGGTCCATTTTCTTCTTCTGCTGTTTTTTTTAAAAAAGCAAAAAAAACAATCACCGTACAACTTAAAGGGCCACGACCATACATATCTATAATAAAAGCCTTTATTATGGATATGTATAGTCACGACTGGCTGGACAAAGTTTGGAATGTCTGGACAAAAAAACAAAAGAGGTAAACAAGGCGGACTGCCCCCCCAATCAGGTTAAATAAAAAAGAAAAGAAATATATATAGTTATAGATATAATGAAATAATCCAGTTAAAAGACTTTATTCATGACATAGTGGAATGTGTTGAGAACAAATAACATAAACATGATCAATGTAAATCAAAACTATTATCCCATGGAGGTCTGAATTTGGAATCATACTCAAAACAAAAGTGTAAAATCACATCACAGGCTGATTCCTCCAGACCAGTCGTAATGAGGCTCAGCAGTGTGTGTGGTCTCCACGCGCCTGTAGGACCTCCCTACAGCGCCTGGGCATGCTCCTGATGAGGCAGGATGTTTTCCTGAGGGATCTCCTCCCACACCTGGATTAAAGCATCAGTCAACTCCTGGACAGTCTGTGGTGCAACGTGGTGGATGGAATGAGACACAATGTCCCAGATGTGCTCAGTAGGATTCAGGTCTGGGGAATGGGCCGGCCATTCCATAGCATCAATGTCTTCATCATCAGGAACTGCTGACACACTTCATCCACATGCAGGCGAGCATTGTCGTGCATCAGGAGGAACCCAAGGCCCACTGCACCAGCATATGGTCTCACAGTGGGTCTGAGGATCTCATCCGAGTACCTAATAGCAGTCAGGGTACCTCTGGCTAGCCCATGGAGGGCTGTGGGCCCTCTAGAGAAATGCCTCCCCACACCATTACTGACCCACCGAACCGGTCATGCTGGAGGATGCTGCATTCAGCACAACGTTCTCCACGGCGTCTCTAGACTCTGTCATGTCTGTCACATGTGCTCAGTGTGAAACTGCTCTCATCTGTGAAGAGCTCAGGGCGCCGATGGCCAATCTACCAACCTTGGTGTTCTCTGGCAGATGCCAATCTCCCTGCACAGTGCTGGGCTGTAAGCACAAGCCCCACTGGTGGACATGGGGCCCTCAGACCACCTCATGGAGTCTGTTTCTGACAGTTTGAGCAGAAACATGCATATTAGTGGCCTGCTGTAGGTCATCCTGCAGGGCTCTGGCAGTGCTCCTCCTGGTCCTCCTGCACAAAGGAGGAGGAAGCGGTCCTGATGCTGGGTTGTTGCCCTCCTACGGCCCCCTCCACATCTCCTGGTGTACTGGCCTGTCTCCTGGTATCTCCTCCAGGCTATGGACACAGCAAACCTTCTTCCCACAGCTTGCATTGATGTGCCATCCTGGATGAGCTGCACTACCTGAGCAGCTTGTGTGGGTTGTAGACACGCCTCATGCTACCTCTAGGGCTGAGAGCACTGACAAGATGCAGACGTGACCAAAATATCAGCCAGAAAGGACCATCTGCAGAACGAATCCTTTATAGCAGGGGTGTCAAACTCCGGTCCTCAAGGGCCGCAATCCTGCATGTTTTAGATGTTTCTCTCTTCCAACACACCTGATTCAAATGATCATCAAGCTCTGCAGAAGCCTGATAACGATCCTGATCATTTGAATCAGGTGTGTTGGAAGCTTGCAGGATTGCGGCCCTCGAGGACCGGATTTCGACACCCCTGCTTTATAGGGTGGTCCTGCTACCTGCCTCTCATCTCTACCTGTTGTCTGCTCCATTTGCAAAACAGCAGGTGAAACTGATTCACCATCAGTGCTGCTTCCTACCTGGACAGGTTGGTGTGACTGACCTGGAGTCACATCGTGTTGTTTAGGTGTTCCCTTTATTTTTTTGAGCAGTGTATTTTTTGCAGGGTACATATGAGGCAGGGGTGCACCAGAAATCCACAACAAGTTTGTAGAAGTTGGGATGAATGCTCTGTTGTCTCTCCCAATCCCAATAGGGGGTCCTCCGTCCTGGGAATGTTTGGGCCATAGACCAGTCCATAGAAAGCTGTCTTGCTTAAAACCAGTCCATGGTGTAAAAAAGGTTGGAGACTGCTGAGCTAAGTGGCTCAGTTCATGCAAATCTAGTTGGACCCTGTTTTTTAGAAGGTTCCGGTTCTTGCTGACCTGTTGCCCTGGCTCACAAAATGTAAAACCAGGCGCCCTGTCTCAACTCTCCTGGAGCACCTGAGTCCATCCTGCCCAAGACTTGTCTGGTTGCCTTGCTCAGCTGGGAGGTGGAAGGCTAGGTGGACCAAGCCCAAGCCCCACAGTCTGACCCAGGGAATGGACCTCCTAAAGCATTATTCACCCCAGACATTGAGATCCCCAGTCCGCCAGTGGGCACACTCCTCACAGCTGACCTGCCACCCCAGAGCCTCCCGGACCCTTGGAGTCCTATGTCAGAAGGTCTGGTGGCCCACTATGGACCAGAACACACAGGAGTTTGTGGCTTTACTGTAATATCTGTACCAAACTTCATGGAAATCCAGCCAGTAATCGTTAAAAAATGTCATCAACCCACCAAAACACAGCCTGCTGGTGTTGCTGGAGAGTCAGCCAGGGGACCACCAAGTCAGATCTATTCTGTGGGGTGATTCATGATGCTAATGTGGCTAAAATGTACATTTCTGAAAAAACAACTCTACTGCGTTGCATTTTCTTCTGGTTGTCTTGTAACAGTGTGTTTCAAGATTACAATAAACTGTGGTGCACTGTGGTGAAACATCTTCTGCTGTGCTGGCAGGCTTCCTTCCTCCTCACAGAGGAAATGATGTGCACTCTTGCTCAAGCAAACACACACACACACACACTCACACACACACACACACACACACACACACACACACACACACACACTTAGAATAAA